CCCTGCCCTGCCCCCCTGCCCTGCCCCCTGCCCTGGGCCAGGATGAAGGCTCACGAGTACTTGAGCTCACGATACTTTGCACCTCAAATCCCCCCTTATCCCTAAACCCCAAACCCGAAACCCCTAAACCCAAAACCCTGAACCCGAAACCCCGAAACCCAAAACCCTAAACCCGAAACCCTGAACCCTAAATCCTACACCCTAAACCCTACATCCTTAAACTCGAAAGCCGAAACCCCAAAACCCCGAGTTCCGGAACCCGACCATCGACTCCCTGCATCGGGTCGGGTGGCGGTATGTCTCGTACTGCCGGTAGATGTTCAACAGAGTGACCTTCGCTTCTTGAACCCCAAACACCAAAACCCTATACCCTAAACCCCAAACCCCAAAGCAACACCGCAAATCCTAAACTCTAAACTTCTGTTGCGAAGATCTAAGGCCGGAAACCCCATCCGACAAGTCGGGCGCTGTGACTCCAAAGGTGAGGCTTCGAGGACTGAAAGTATGTAACGGAAAGATGCCCCTTTATGGTTTGCGACAGCCAGGATGAACGGTTTAGGGTTTAGGCGTAAACCCTAAACCCTAAACCCTAAACCCTAAACCCCAAACCTTGCGGCGGCCGCCAGGATGAATATTCCTAAGCCCCTATGTTTCTTGTCGACCCCAAAGCTCTGTGATTAACACCCTACTCAACCCTAGAGCCATAAAAGCCTAAGCCCCCCTAATCAAAGCTCCACGTTCCCAAAACCTCAGGTCAATGTGTGCTTTCATTTTGTTGCGGGGGATTGGTTTAGAGTTTAGGCTTGAGGATATCAGGCTTAGAGCTTAAGGTGTAGAGTTTTGAGCTGCGGGGCTTAGGGTTCACGGGTTGGGTTGAAGGCTTCCCACCCAAGCTTAGCCTTTGAGTTCATGATCGCGGGTGATGATCGTTGCAGCACCTTCGTGCAGCCCCATGCAACTGCCCTCAACACCACCGCTTTTCGCTTTCTTGCGGAAGCCTCATCAAAAGGAATTTGATTTGGAGCCTCGGTACGCAAGAGACATGTCTTGATTTTAATCCTTCTCTGTGTGTGTGTGTATATCTACACATACATATATATATATATATATATATACATGTGTATGTATATACATGGAAATGTATACATGTCATGTTGTCAAAAACTACATAAAGGAACTAGATGCATGGGTAGGCAAACAGACATGTACACAGATGTTCGAGAAATGCCAGAGCTGGGGGCCCCCAGCAAGGTCACCCTCGTAAACCGCGAAGGACTCTTTGCAGGTCGCAAGACGATCCTGTTCGATGTTGAAAGTTTCAGGCTACTCCTTATTACACTTATAATACAATGTACCCCAAAACCCTGTTCTAATTATTTATTAAGGCCCCTATATTAGGTCAACGAGGGCTTGGGGGTGAAGGCTGCGCGGTTTGGGTTGTAGGTCTGAAGCTGTAGGGGGCTTAGGATTCAGGGGTTTGGGGCTTAGGGTTTAGGAAATATTGGATGAGTAGCAAGCCTGCCGTGGAGTGTGTCCTCTCGGATGATTGGGGTGGGGCTGCTGGGTGCGTGTAACCAGGGCTTAAATTTAATAGCTCGTTAAGGGTGCTATCCTTCGACTAGGAAAATGCGCTACAACTAGGATCCCCAGTAACCTAGGAGAAGCAGGGCTCCCTTTTCGGTATTATGAGGCCCCCAAGCTGGAGCGAGCCGGGCTGGGCAAGTTAGCTTGGCGTCTGCTCTGCTCTACTCTGCTCCACTTCATCCACGTCTAGCTCTATCTCTGACTCTGGCTGCATCTCTACTCTACTCCTCTTTACTCTTAGACATGTGAGGTCTCTCAGACCCGCCCGAAACTATCTTCTTTGCTCTAACGGACTCCAGCTCAAGCGAACTCCAGCAGCTGATTTCAATAGCTTTTGAAGGAAACATCGAGTGGGCTTGTTGAGGTCTGGCCTCAAAAAACGATTCAGCACCCCTAGACACGGCCACATAGGGGCAGGATGCCTTTTCGTGGTGTTCGTAAATCATCTTGAAGAGGCTGGGGAACGTTAATGTCCAACCCCAGCCGCAGCGTCCTACACCCTAAACCCCTTAAGCCTAAACCCCTCGTCCCTCAACCCCATTAAGCCCAAACCCTAAATCCTAAACCCTAAACCCGAAACCCTTGAAGTCAAAACCTGAAACCCTAAACCCTAAACCTTAAGCGCTAAACCGTCCTTGTTCTGCGAGGGTAGCCAGGGCGCTTGCAGGGAGAGCATGGCACAGACGGCCGCGGCCTTCGGTTCCGATCGGGCTTGACAATTCGAATGGGGTTTGGGGGGGTATGGAAGAAAACTGATAAGACTGTGGACGGTACGGGGATAATCTAACCCTTAAACACTAAACACTAAACCCTAAACCTAAACGCTAAACCCTAACTCGACGTCGATATTAGGAAAGAACTGGGGCTCTCTGAAACTTAAATAAAAGGAAAGGGCCCCGGCTTTCTGAACCTATTCCAGGCGAAGAATCGTAAGATCAGCGTGGTGATGCTTCTGTAATCATTTTTTTCAAACAGCATGGCTAGTATCACGATTACTACTATTATTATAGCCACTGTTGTTATGATTGCTATGATTACTATGATTACGGTTCGCACTATCATTACGATTCGTTAGTATAACGGTTGTTACGTCATTATTAGACATTATCGTCCATTGTTTTTGCTTGCATGCCCTCCTCTGTTCCATCATCACCATCATCACCACCACACCTGTCGTCATGGACGTCGTCGTAATCATCACGCCTCCACCACAGCCACCACCAGCGCCCCCACTCCCACCCCGATAATCAGCCTCAATTTCGTCATCATCGTCACCAAAAATACCTACTGTCCAAGTCAAGTCTCATGCAAATGTCCTTATTACAACCACGAGTCAATGGAACTCGCGCAGCTACAGGTACTACCAGCTCTATGCTCAGAAGCGATGCTTGTAGGCACGCGATCTTGGATTTCGATAGTCCTCCAGACTTGGGTCCCGTTTTTGAAAGCGAGCCCATTTAGAGAACCCCCCCCCCCCTCCGCAGCCCAGATTCAAGAAAACCCCACCTCATCTCAAACCCAACCTGCCCGGGCACCCAAAACCCCGAAACGGTTTAGGGCTTAGGGCTTAGGGTTTCAAAACATATTCTACCAAAACCCTCTGAGGACTGAGTTGAAACATAACATATGAACACCTCTTTATAAATCCCTAAAATGCCCCTCAATGCAAGTTCATCGCCTCCGCAGCACACGAGTGCGGCTCCTGCCCCAAGAAAGGTTTCTGTAGTTAGGAGGATTTCCCTGGGATTTCCACAGGGTTTTGTTGTCATCTGCACGGCTTGTACCCTAAACCCTAAACCCTAAAACGTTTGAAAGCTATTATATATTTTAGGGGTTGATACGGTCTTTAGCGCACAACCTTGGCTTTCAGACCTTGCAACCTGCCTTCTAAGACATAAGCCCGTAAGCCTGAACCCTGGGCCCTAAACCCTAAGACCTGAAAGCAGCTGAAGAACGGTGACAATCTTGACATTAGGGTTAGGGTTTACGGTTTAGGGTTTAGGGTTTAGGGTTTAGGGTTTAGGGTTTAGGGTTTAGGGTTTAGGGTTTAGGGTTTAGGGTTTAGGGTTTAGGGTTTAGGGTTTTAGGTTTAGCGAGAAGAGCCTGAAACTTGAGATCACACCAGGCCCTCAACCCTCAACATGGGACCACTCCAAATCCCCAAAAACCCAACCTCTAAACCCTAAACCCTAAACCCTAAGCCCCTAAGCCCTTAAACCCTAAACCCCAAAACCCCAACCTCTAAACCCTAAACCCTAAACGCTAAGCCCCTAAGCCCCTAAGCCCCTAAACCCTAAACCCTAGACCCTAAACCCCAAAGCTCCTAAACCCTAAACCCCAAAACCCCGAAACCCAAAACGCAATGAGGTTCGATCCTTCGGAGTTCACAGGGCTGGGACAGGGGGGTCCCTTAGGTGTCAGGCCTTCGGGTAGTGTCTTCATGGGTTTAGGGTTTAGGGTTTAGGGTTTAGGGGTCTAGCGGCTTGGGGGTCTAGCGGTTTAGGGGTCTAGCGGTTTAGGGGTCTAGCGGTTTAGGGGTCTAGCGGTTTAGGGGTTTTGGGTTTTGGGTTTAGGGGCTTTGATTATGGGCTTCACTGGGTTTTGTACAGTTTGGTAGTAAGGGGTGTTGTAGACCAGGCTTGTTTTTGGTTACAAGGGGCAAACCGGGCAAACCCTTAACCCTAAACTCCAAACACCGGAATCCTCCGAAACACAATAACCCCAAAACACTAGATTGTTCATCCTAGACCCTAAACCCTTGAACCCCTAAACCGAAACACAATAACCCCAAAACACTAGATTGTTCATCCTAGACCCTAAACCCAACCCAAGAGACCCACCGCATCCTCTGATTGTCCCATGGTTTCCGCAGGCCGAAGCCAACAGAAACCCCCTCGCAGACTTTTCGTCGAGGGCTTAGGGTTTAGGGTTTAGGGTTTAGGGTTTAGGGTTTTGGGTTACCCAAAGACGTTTCGAGTATCATGTGCCACTTATATACTCCTTGTACTTTGAATAGTAATGCTAAATGAAAGGATAGTGAAACAACCTGTCTCGAAGCACAAGCTCGAAAAAAAACTGCCTAGGGAAGGCACGTAAGTGTGTAGATTGAAAAACGAAACGACAGTTCCTAACATCCTCCGCCAAACCCTAAACCCTAGACCCTAAACCCTGAACCCTTGAACACTAGAACCCTAAACCCTAAACCCTAGAACCCTAAACCCCACCCGAAGCCGCCTAAACCCCGAAACCCCGAAACCCTAAACCCCCACACCTCAGCGGAAAGGAGCAGCAGTCGTGTCAGCGGCGCCTGCGGAGCAACTAGACATCTGTAAAATGCTAAAGGTTCTAGGATTTAGGGTTTAGGGTTCTAAGAATTGGGGTTTAGGCTTTGGGGTTCTGGGCTTTAGGGTTTAGAGGGTTTAGGGTTTAGGGATTCACGGTACGGGATTATAGGATTTGTTGGTTTGGGGTTTAGGGTTTGGTGCCCGACAAGCCTTTTCGAGCCCGACGGGTTTAGGGTTTAGGGTTTAGGGGTTTAGGGTTTAGGGGTTTAGGGCTTCGGGTTTAGGGGTTTTCAAACCGGGCAGCACGAGAATGCCAACGCCCTCAAACACTTCGTCCCACGGATTTAAGCTTTGTTGCTTGGAGCTTGTGGTACCTCCTACCCCATGAGTGTTCTTAGCGCAACCGTGGCTCTAGGCATTGGGGTATGGAAGACGTTGATGTTGCAGCGTGGACGGTCTGATCCTTAGTCTGGGGACCCCCAAAAAGGGACCCCTAAATTGGGAAACCCCCATGTAACGTAACCACGGCTGTTGAACTTCCTGGCCCTTGACACTGGGGCACATATTTTTTTCCGGCACTTGACGGCTGCGGGTTTAGGGAGAGCCTCGACTGTTAAAACATGAGGACCCAGATCAGTCGGCTGTTGCCGACTATCAAGCCACTTTGCGGCTTCTTCTCTGTTCCTGGGTTGCTGTTAAGGAACTTAATTTAACTTACTACATTGGAGGCGCACCCTATCGGCTACTACATATACCCATCATGGTAACTTAAATTACATTCTTAACAGCAACCCAGTCTTTTGCAAGCTCCAAAATGCACAGCATTGCTGGCCATGTGAGCTGTAAAGATCCTGAAAACTCATATGCCAAGTAATCCAAAACAGTCTTCTGAAACATCTGAGCCATAGTATAGTTTAGGGTTAGAAGGGAATATGGGAACATAGGGCTGTATGGGATAATGGAAAAGAAAATGGAATCTACGAATAGGGCCTATTTTCGGGATGATGTGAGCGATAGTCTAAACTCCCAGTATCCCCCCTACTACGTCCTAAACCCTAAACCCTAAACCCTAAACCCTACAGTAGGAACCTTCTGTAATCTCCTATATACATCCCTTTAAGGGGTTTAGACTCTAGCTCAACTGCCGCAAGTAGAGCCCGGCAGGATTAAGGTTTAGGGTTCAGGGTTTAGGGTTTAGGGTTTAGGGTTTAGGGTTTAGGGTTTACGGTTCGTCAACCCTCTTCTTGTGGCTCGGGATTGAACCCTTGACCGACCGGCTAGTACTTCGTAGGGAATCATGGAAAGGATCGTTGGAGTTGTGATCGTGGATTCTGCGAGGAATGGTCAAAACGCTACATGGGATACTGATTGCGGTCGTATCATTGACTGTGGTCCCAGGATGTCCCAGGCATCCATTCCCCGATTCCCTGCAGACCACATATCGCCCTTGTGGAACAGCGGTCGATGAGTTGGATCATCCTGCTAACAGTAATGGAAAAGCCTCCATCCGCTTCCTCAGAAGGAGGACACACATTGCACGGACTATCGCCGATTCGAAGCCTCTGGCTGCTGCCCCTGTCAGCAGCTCCAACACGCACGGCGTTGCTGGTCACACGGCTGCCAGGAATACAGGGTTCATATGTGGCTGTAGATACTGGGGCTTACTGTAAATTAAAACGCCTTCGTGTTAAAAGGGCTTCTCTTCAAGGGGTTTGCCTGTCCGCTCTCCCCGGAAGCATCTCAAAACACTGTTCTGGTGCCACATGCCGAGTAATGCGAAACCCTAAACTAAATCCTACAACTGTCACAAGGAGAGCCCGCTCAGCATCTGGATGCGTCAACGCTCTTCTCGTGATTCGGGGGTGAATCTTGGACCTGTGTCGCTTCGTAGCACTCATGGGAGAAAGTGTATGATATATGCTGGCATGACGCACTGAACCCAGAAAATTGCAAGGCTTCTCGCGAGAGGGCGTCCGCATGCATTCTCTGTACACGCTGGTGCAACAATCTAACTTGCTGTTTCTGACCTCCTCCCCGAAGTTCCCTTGCCGTCGGCATTCGCTTGCTTCTTGACGCTTGCCCTCAACCTTTTGAAGCCACGAGTGACCATTGCGGCAAAGAAAAGTACTGACAGTGCGAGTCCTATCAGTGCACCAGGCATGCCATAATTCCGATAGAGCGGCACCTTCGCGAGCGCCAACACTGAGACCATGGAATACACGAGCACCACACCAGCCGTCTGAAGGTAGTCCATGGCGCGGCTCTCGAACCTGGGCTTCGCAAACCGCTGGCAAAGGCCGATGAGAACCTGTTGAGTAACAGCCACTGACATGATGGCAGACGAGATCGTCTCGCCAACAAAGTAACTCCAGATAACCTCGCTGGGGGCACCAGCGTTCCACAAGGCTCCAAGCACGTCAAAAGACATTGCCAAAGCCGGACTGTAGATCAGCAAGCAGTAGGACAAGGGTGCTGTCGCAGCCTCTGCCGCTTTCACCAGCTCAGCCCTCAATGGTCCACGGACGTAGTCGGTGAAGGCAGCCGTGCTCCCGTACCACTCAACTAAGGCTGCAAGAATAAACTGTCTGTCTGCATCATCAGAACCTGGGTTCTTGTTAACGGGTTCCATTAAAGTTACTATAATCAGGAAACCAAATTATTTGCGGTAGATCCCTAAACCCCAAACCCTAAACCCCTAAACCCTTAACAAGAACCCAGGAACAGGACACCTTGCTCAGGTCAAAGTTAGCCATCTGTTGCAGACTGCTTTCTTGCTCTTGGAAGCCTCGTCGAATGGCGTGAGCGCCAGGAATGACGGCTGCAAGACCTGGGTTCTGGTTAAGGGTTTAGGGTTTAAGGTATCATAATAGGGATCTACAGTAGAGAAAATGGCTTCCATATTATACTAACTTACATTCAATCCCGTAACAAGAACCCAGCGACTGATGAAGCCCGGGATGAAGGTCAAGCCGTTTGACACGGCATTGACCATGGTATACGTGATGGGAACGAAGAACCAGCAAGGCCAGAGTGCCAGAAAGTTCCGCTCTATGAACAATGGCTGGAATGTCAGCTTGCCGCGTGCATTTGCGTGACGATACGCGGCAAGCTCAAAAATACACCACAATCTGGACAAGAGAGGCCCAGTGTGTGTGTGTGTGTGTGCTTTACAGTGCAGTGGCCTACGCCCCGAAGGGTGGCTTGCTGCACCAACGGGCCGAGGCCCAGACCACAAGATGCGGAGCTCCTTTGCGACCGAAAGGTAACCTCCAATGCCGTAGATGCCCCGCGTACGAAGTACAGCATCCTGGGTTCTTGCTCAGGGAATTCAAGTTACCATAACAAGGAAACCATTTACTTTACTATAGACCCCTATGAAATTATTATGGTAGCTTAACTTAGGTCCCTTAACAAGAACCCAGGATCTGTCTGATGTATGCATGCCACATCATAGAAGCATCTGTAGGTTCGGCAGGATGGCAAGGCAGGAGCGAGAGCCAGGGTCACAAGCGCGGCTACAAAACTCAGCAGCAATGACCATGGGCCGGACATTATTTCGCCTCGGAACTGCACAAAGTTCGCCGGGTACGGCAGAGGCATGGGTAAGATGTCCCAGCCGTACAACATCAAGATCACCAGCCAAGTCACAATCATAGCTGACAGGGCATAATGCCAGTAAAAATGGAGCAGCAGGGAGATGTATTTCTGATATCCGGGCGTCCACCATGTATGCGACAGAAACGTATCGAAGCTATCTGTCCCCACGGAGGTTGCCCACAACTTCTCCAGCTGTGCCTTGCTCATTTTCTCTGGGCGCAGTCGCCAAAGCCGGCCAAAACGTTTCAACGTGGTGGCCAAACTCACCGAACGGATGAGCTCTGCATCTGCGTGGAGGGACTCTGTGGGAGCCCTACGGAGATATGGGACTGCTGAAGGTGCAGTAGACTCAGCTTGAGGAGACTCCTTATCCGGAGCACCATCCTCATCACAATCGAACGCGCAGGCGGGCTCTGAGTCTACAAAGCAACTTCCGGAAGGCAAGGTTTGGCTTGTTGTGCCCGGCTCTGCGTTCTCGCCATTTGGCACGCAACAATCCACACCTGCATGCCCGACCGCAGCTCCCATTGCAGCTACCGTCAGCAAATCTGGGTGAGCACGTTAACTTGCCCTTAAAATACTTGAGCCGAGAGGCCACCAAAAGTTCCTCAGCCCCTTTTTTGAGCTGAGGCCCGCGCAACCGGAACACGAGCTTCACTCTGCTCTCAAACACGAGCCCAGAAGGGCTTCTAAGCTTCCTACAGACAGGTTACGGGGAGAACGCCACATCAAACCAGAAGACAAAGAACGCTCCTCACACCGTCCTCCCACTCATCCTCCAAATCCGAAACCTTATCCCGTAAATCTTGGAACCCTATCCAGGTTTTAAAAGACTTTGGGTTTCGGGTTTAGTGTTTACGGCCTGTTGGGGCCCAGGGATTCGGATGCCAAGGTCGCGGTTGGAGGTGGAGGGTCTAGGACTTAGGGTTCAGGGTTTGGGGTTTAGGGTTGAGGGTTTGGGGTTTAGGGTTTAGGGTATAGGGTGGGTTTGGGGTTTAGGGTTGAGGGCACTAGGCCATCGACCAAGATTTTAAGCAGCAGCGGCCAAGCTGTTGCTGGGAAAGTCTTGAAACGAAGCGCGAAACTGTAGCTTCTCCAGGTGGGCGAGGGGGATCATGGAGCGAGTGTGTACCGAGGGCATGTTTTTTCAACAATCACCTACGCGTTGTAGAAGAAGCGCATTGCCCGAAACCCTAAACCCGAACACCCTAAAGCCCCAAACCCTAAACCCTCAGAACCCTACCCTAAAACCCAAAACCCCCAAACCCTAAACCCTAAAACCCTAAACCCATGAGGCTCCTGCGCTCAGCTTCAACTCTCAGTTCGATCCTCAGCCTTTCACCTCAATCCCCAAACCCGAAAGCCCTGAAAGCGACCCGCATAGTGATCTCTATCCTACCGTTATTGATACATTTCGGTAGCTCTCTAAATTCAAGAAAGAACGGCACCCTTTTTGAAAACAGGCCCCCAAAAGGGACCCTAATTTAGAGAACTACCCATTTTGGGCTTAAGGGGGCTGATACATAACCCTAAACCCTAAACCCTAAACCCTAAACCCTAAACCCTAAACCCTAAATTTTTGGGCGCACCGGCAGCGGACCGTGGGCCATGCGCAGCCCAAGCGGCTCGACCAGCCGGGCCTGATCACGGGTTTAGGGTTTAGGGTTTAGGGTTTAGGGTTTAGGGTTTAGGGTTTAGGGTTTAGGGTTTAGGGTTTAGGGACATCAGGTATGGGGCTCAAGAAATAAAGCAGTTCTTAGTATGGTTGTAGTCTTGTAATAATATGATGATAGTATGATGTTAGCCCTTCTTAGTATGGTTTCAGTCTTGCAGTAGTATGATTATAGCATGACCATAGCATGATTATAGCATATTTATCAGAAGTATAGCATGCTTATCTGGGTTTTGAAGTAACCAGGGAGACAAACGTATAGACGTTTATTTCATAATGGTTCCTTTAAGGAACAGGTGCCCAAAAAAAGTATTAAAGTATGGTACTCCAAAGCCCAGTTATAGTATACCCTAAACCCTAAACCCTAAACCCTAAACCGTGGTATGGTATTGATAAGGCTTCCGGAAGCATGTCGTGTGGGGCCTCGGCTTCGTGGTTCAGGGCTTGGGCTGTAGGGTTTCGCGTATGCTTTAGGGTTTAGGGTTTAGGGTTTCGGGTTTAGGGTTTAGGGTTTAGGGCTTCGGGTTTAGGGTTTAGGGTTTCCGGTTTGGGGTTTAGGTTTTAGGGTTTAGGGTTTCGGGTTTGGGGTTTAGGGCTTCTTCAACATGGGGCTCCTGAACTCGGTGCCCTTACAGCGAGGATCTGACCGAAATCTCTTTGCCAACCTGTGCGGATATAGGGGTTTAGGGCTTAGGGTTGAGGCACAGCATGGTTTAGGGTTTAGGGTTTCATTTAAGGGCCCGTTTCGTCCGCATGAGTCTGCTAACGAATCCTCAACAGGAGGAGAGCAAGTGCCGTCACTTACAGGACAGGGTGTAGGATTTAGGGTTTAGGGTTTAGGGCTTAGGTACAGTGTGTCCCTTCAACAAGAAAATCTTCAATCCGGACCTTGCAGATAGGACAGGCCGGAAGTAATGCAAGGCCTCGTAAGCCTTTGAGGTAGCAGCCCTCTGATGGTGAAAAACAAGGTCTTGGTCTTGGGATTTGCTTTCTACAACTCACCCTAAACCCTAAACCCTGAACCCTAAACCCTAGGGTATAGGTTGTAGGGTTTAGGGTGAATCTCAGGTTCTTGCAGCTCTGCTCCCTCTTTCTTCCCCTGCAGGCGCCCGATGATCTGTTCGCGCATCGCTCGTGAAACGTCCAGCCCTGGCAACTCCCTCCGTGCAAGGAGGAGGGGCTGAATTCAGCATCGTGGCTCTTCGGGTTTAGGGCTTAGGGTGTAGAGTTGAAGGGTTTTGGGTTTAGAGTTTAAGGGTTTAGGGAGTGAAGCCTCTGATGGTTGGGAGTAGCTGGGAATAAGAGTTGAAGTCTCGAGGCTTTAGGTTTCCGAAGGCCGGTCTAAGTGGGGCCTCGAACCCACGGCTCGGGTTCGGATTCATCTCAATCCGAATCTTCCTCACCGGTCAGAAATCCGAAGCGCTGCCGGATGGGCTTGGGCGCCGAGGCTATCATGGCTTCCACCCCTGCGCCAAGGGCAGCTGGGGATTTGTTAGGCGTCTAGCTTGTGAAGGCGTTGCAGCGCTGAAAAAAACAGTCTGAGAGTTGTTTGTTGTAGGGTGTCTTGTAAGGGCTTAGAAACCCTAAACCCTAAACCCTAAACCCTAAACCCTAAACCCAATTTAGGATCCTCGGGCCTGCACCGACCCTGGCCAGGCGCATCACCCAGCCAGGGATGCCCCCAACGCCCAGGCGCCGCGCGAAGTCGTCGGCGAAGTGGCAGCAGTTCCGGCGCAGAAGGTCGTAGTCCTGAGGTGTGTTCTGGGGTTTAGGGTTTAGGGTTCAGGGTTTAGGGTTTGGGGTTTAGGGTTTTGGGTTTAGGTTTTTGGGTTTAGGTCTTTTTAAAGTGTGTTGACATGGGTTTAGGGTTTAGGGTTTAGGGTTTAGGCTGTAGGATTCAAGATGTTCAGTTTAGGGTTCAGGGCCCTAAACCCTAAACCCTAAACCCTAAACCCTAAACCCTAAACTTTGGGTTCAGGGTTCAGGGATTAGGGTTCAAGGCCGTAGGGTCCGAACGTTGTCGTTGTTAATTCAGAAAGCCTGTATTTTGCAGATTCGGGTTTAGGGTTTAGGGTTTAGGGTTTAGGGTTTAGGGTTTTGGGTTTAGGGTTTTGGGTTTAGGGCCTGTATTTTGCAGATTCGGCGACTGTAACAGTTCAAGGCGAACTTCGAGGAAGACGGAAACCCGGAAACCCCTAGACCCTAAACCCTAAACCCTAGACCCTAAACCCTAGACCCTAGACCCTAGACCCTAAACCCTAAACCCTAAACCCTTAACCCAAAACCCTAACCGGAGGGCATTGGGGAAACATAGGGACCTTAGTAGTTAGAATAGGGTTTTGGTGCCCAGTATACTATAAATGTAATAAGGAACCCCCAAAATAGTATTGGTAATTATTTAGGCCCCTACATTATCTTAGTCTTCCTTTCTTCTGTGTTAACCCTAAACCCTAAGCCCTGACCCCTAAACCCTAAACCCTAACAAGAACCGAATCGTCTTGCTTTCTTTCAAGGCCCCACTGTAAACTATATTGACATGTTGCGGTTGCCCCTTTGTAAGCCTCAGCTGGGGTCATTTGGGAAGACTACTTCGTTACGGAGCAGGAGGAGGATGACCGTTCGCCGAGGGCTGAATGGAGAGAACTTTGGGTTTAAGGTATCGATGTAGAACTTTTTCCTTGTCTTAATGGCAATCATTGCGGCGTTGTTTAATGGGTGCTGTATGGACATGAGCGATTTCAACAGGAACCCTGCGCAAAAATCTGCTCTAGCTGCAAAAGATAGACCAATGCGTCTTGTTCTTGAGGCCCCTGTACTGGGGGTAGGCGCAAGTGTTGGATTCGTGCCCTCAGCTTCGAACGCAAGTTCCGAAAAATCGTTCGCGGCTTCGGGGTTAAAGTTTTCACTGCTCGTCCTGGCCGGGATATTCCTCCAGGAGCTGTGTGACGATGTCTGCGACCTCTTCGCCGCTGAGGCGAGTGTAGCCCATGGCCACCGTCTGACCTTGGCTGGCCAGACACTCCAGTCTCCCTTAAGCAATGCATCTTCTTGACATGTAACAAAAATACCTCACGACATGAACGCGTTTCGGGGGCCACGCACAGCAAATGCTTATGTTGTCATTTCAATGTTTAGGACAAACCGCATGGGATTGCTATCCACACACTCAGCCCCTGGACCCCCAAGACCAAAGCGATCAGCAAAAAAGTCCAACCAGGACGAGCCAAGTGGCGGTAGTGATGCTGCGGATGTCCCCTCGGTGTTGAGTGGGTTGCAGGCTATTCCAACACCAAACACCCAAGTTGATCCTCAAAGCAGGAATCGAGTAAGAACGAAAAGATCCCTCAAAATCAATCTAAACCCTAACCCTAAACCCTAAACCCTAAACCCTAACCCTGAACTTTCCCCAGACTCGTCTATGTTCAAAAGCACGGTGGAAGAAGCAAGGGCTCGGGAGGCCAGCGCTTGAAAGAAGCTTCGGCCAAAGGAGATGGGGCGGGACCTACGGGAACCTTTGCCTGTTCGGCCGTAAACTCAAGTTTAGGGTTTAGGGTTCCGGGTTCCGGGTTCAGGGTTTAGGGTTTAGGGTTTTATATCAAAACTTGCACCCCAACCGAATCCTCACCGCGTCCTCTTAAAACGAAGAAGCCTCTGGAGGACAGCAGAACACAGTCTTGGGGCATCCCTTGACGAAGGGTGCGGTGTACATACTATAAAACAGTTCTATACCCTAAACCCTAAACCCTACAGGGCCAACTCAAACACCCCACAAAAAAAATCTAAACCCTAAACCCTAAACCCTAAACCCCTAAACCCTAAACCCTAAACCCTAAACCCTAAACCCTACAACCCTAAACCCTAAACCCTAAACCCCTAAACCCACGGAACCTCGGCTCCACACAGGCCACGCCGGGGTGAGTCTCGCTCCCAGAGAAGCCGAAACACCACTCGAGGCCGTTCACCTCGGTCTTCAGTGCTTAACATAGGTTTAGGGTTTTTTGGTTCAGGG